AATCATTAATCTCTTTATTTTTAATAATTAAGATTTATTCACATTTATTAAAGATAATTATTGTTTTTGTCTAAAAAGTCATGTATCAATTAAGAAGTTAAAAAAATATTTTTAATAATATTTGTTAGTTTTTAATGAAAAACTAATACTAGTTGATACATGCTATAAACGCCATAATTAAAAAATAAAAATAAACATCTACTAAATAGAAAAATATGTACTATAAAGAAAGAAAGAAGAAGTAAAGATATTAATAGACAAATATTTTATAAATAATAATAATAAACAATTTTTATTCAGTTAATTTTTATTTTTCTCATATTTTATATTATCTTTATTTTCTTCAACTTTCTCTTGCTCATTAAAAGTAATCTTCAACAACACTACAAATGGTATGAATTAAATGAGGATAAAAATGATAAAAATAAAACATAAGGAACTAAATTAAATTTTTTAAAGAAGTTTGGGGGGGCCTGTTCACCTCCGGCCCCCTTTGGCTCCGCCGGTGTGTTTGTATGTATGTTTATGGAAGACGGAATAACAAGAGGATGAAGATTTCTTCTTTTTAGAAACTTAAAGCAACACCATTAAAACCAAAATTTTTTTTTAAAAAAAAACACCTTAAATTTGTACCAAAAAAAAGAAAAAACTTTGATTAGCTTTAAATATTTTGATCAGGAAACCTTGCCTGATTCTACCATCATCGACTCTATTTGTGCTGCGGTTGTCATATCTTGGATCGGAAAATTTTGCTGACTAATAGTCGGGAATTGATCTTCTGGAAAACTTACTGTAATAGACATAGATCAAGCACGAAATACTATTTCAAGGCATGCATGAATTATATATGAAATTAATTTGTCAAAGCAAATTAAAAAAGAACCAGAAACCTTAATTAAAACTTACTTCCATCTCCACCTCCTTCACACAAATTTGGATTCCTTGGGCTCTCCATTTTTGAGTTTTCTCAGTTGACTGAGTCAAAAGAGGGCAATATATCAAGGATAGGCACCATTGACGTATAAATATAGAGAAGGGGACGTAGCAAGTGGTAAGTTGGTACTGGGCGGTGGGGGATTTTCCAGGAAAGAGGGATTTTGATTAGAGTTTTCTCTAATAGAATTAATGAATTCATTTAACCGTATGACAGTCGTCATTAAATTGTCATTGCCAACATTTTCCTTCCCCAACAAGGCAACAAAGTCTTCTATTTTCTCAAATTATTTTATTTGATTTAAAATTTATATGAGATTTTTAAATTAAAATCTCAAAATTCTAACTATATATTAATAAATATAGATACTAATAAAGCATGACCGTAGAATGGTAAAAAAGTTGAATCTAAATCATTTTTTTAAATAATAATTACTAGTTAATTATATATTAGGGTAGGTGAACCTCCTAAAATAATTTAAAAATTGATATATATGATTTATATAAATATAATTTTTAATCTAACAATTGATTTTTAAAAATATTAATTAAAAAAATGAGTTTTTA